AATAAGGCTTAATTGCAAAAAAAAAAAAAAAAAATCCTTACGTTTGACATTTTTTTGTTAAAAAGTCCCTACGCTTCAATTTTTTTGCATTTTCATTCATATTTCTACATTTCATGACGAAAAACATTATTTTCACCAATTTGAAACGTAAGAACGTTTTGGACGTTTTGTGCTATTAGGTCTTTTAATAATTATTTGGACTCACTCACATTTTTTAAAACATTTAGGAGTAAAATTGTAATTTATTTTTTTATTTTTTTTCTTTTTATTTAAATGAGAGAGTATTTTGGTCATTTTACATTAAAAATGTGAAAAGGATGTTCAACGCAAAGAAATGTGAAAGGTAAGAACGAAAATGCTAAAAAATAAAAGGTATGAAAGTTTTCCACAATAAACTTGAAAAGTAGAAACGTTTCGTGTCAATTACCCAATAAATTTTTTAATAAAGTGGAACTTTTGGCAACGCACGCAAGCTGTCCCGGTCAAGAATGATATAAACAAGTTGCAATTTTCTGAAATAATTAAGCCTCTGGTCTACCCTTATATACATGTTTTTTTTGGGTAAAATAAGTTTTAAAATATTGATTTTTTTGAAAAATATATGATTAAAAGGAAAGAAAAAAATTTAAGGTTACGTATAAAATATTTTAACGTATAAATGTATGTTTAAAAATGAGTTTGAAAAAAAAAAAAAGAGTTTTAATTTGATGACAGACAAACATGAATTAAATATTTAGAAATATTTTAATATTAGTAAGATTTTGGTGGAGTCATAGATGAGGCTGAGTCAACTGTTTGGAAGGCAAAGTTATTGTTTGACATAAATAATATATATTTGATTGAATTGAGATTGAATTATTGGTAACCAAAATATTGTATGACTCACTGGCCTATGGTATTTTTATTCATACAAGGGTGTTATATTGTCACCATAATTTTTTTTTTTAATTGTTATACTATTTTACCAAATGGATTAAAGGCCTTAAACAATTGATCGTTGTTGCACCTATGTCCCATTTTTTTTATTTTTCTTTTTGGGTAACATTTTTATCAACATTTTATCAATTCACACATTTTATTAAATTGGTTTTCTCCCAAATTAATGACCTCAGGATTTGAAAACTCATTAAATGTCTATGACTTTGAGGTGGTGGTAGTGTTTATGTATTGAGGCGTAGATGGTGGTGGATTGGAGGACTCTAACCTAAGTCACAGAGCTTCTTGTTCACCTGTCGACCCAGATGTTGGTCGTAAGGCCTATTTAGCTTACTAGTTTGGGTTGCGGTGGTGATGTGTTGTGGTACTGGTCTGCGGTGTGTGCGAATTTTTGATGAATCTCCTTGATCAAATTTATGTTAATTGCAATCAGTTGTAACTAAGTTTATCTTTATTGTAACCATCTGTAACTAGTTTTGTCTTAACTATGATCATATGTGACCAAATTAATAGTAACTTGATCACATACTATCACGATTAAGACTAACCCGATCACAATCACAATAAAAACAAGCTTCACAAACAATAACCTACACAGATATGATCCCAAACGGTCAAAATTAGTAAAGAAGAAATTGATTAGAGGTGGAATCCACATATATCCCACCTTCAACGCAACATAGAAGTCATCAAAGTCATCTAAATCAGAGGAAGAAAAAAATCATCAATGCCAAGCTGATGGTGTGAGAATCGAGATCAGACACTTATTGCTTCAAAAGAGATGGGAAAGCATTTTGTGGATTACATGTGATAATATGGCTGCTGTGAGGATTTTGGGGAAGATTAGTGGTGGAGGTTGAGAACGAAGCAATTTGGATAATGCAGCTATGGTGGTGGTGGACGGAGAATCGAAGAAATGGGGTGGTTGTGGTAATGACAGAGTTGGGAATGGGAGAGTAATGGATAGGTGGGGTGATGGATGCAAGGAAGTTGTTAAGAGGAGAGAAATAAGTATAATATATTTTTTATTATTCTTATTATAATTTAATACCTGGTTTGTGAAATTTTTTTTACAATTTGTTAAATATGAATTTGTATTATTATATTATTGTATTCATGTACTTTTCCCTTTAGAAAGGAGGCTACAAGAATCCCAATATGCCCATTAGCTTTTAAAAGCTCATTTTTTTTAAGAAAAAATGTCAGGCCTTTTAAATCTCGCAGCCCATTAGCAAAGGCTTCAGGCCCATTAACCAATGAGAGAGGTGTTTACACGATGAGTTTGCTAATGGACATGTCATTTCATCAATTAATTGGAATTTCACTCGGTTAGTTTCTAATATTAGAAAATGTGCAATCAACATTCAAGAAAGTGGAGAGTTGAGACACCACTAAAAGCTATATTGTATGGTGCAAACAACATTAGCTAAAAGAATATCAAACTCAAATTGAAAGTGCAAGTGCAAGTGCAATTGTAAGTGGGCACTCCTTCAATTTCACATCAAATGTGGGCCAACCCATATATCCCTCTCACTCTCAACTAACCCGGGTTAGATAAATTGAAAACCAGAACAAGACAACAATTAAGAAAACTGTGAATCATACAAAAAGTTATGGGTTCCAAGGATAATAATGGATAGTCATTTGTGAATCATAAAAAGCCTCGGTTTGGTGTAGTTAAAATCAAAATTTTAGTAGATTTTAAAAGAAGTTTTGAAATCTGCTTTTCAAAAGTTATAAATCCTATAAAATTATAATTAAAAATAATTATTTATTTGAACTTAGATTTTATCAAAATTTATGTCACACTAAACATGGGCAAAATGAGTAAATATATCTAAAAAATGACCAAGCTAAATTAAAATTTAAGTTTTAGCAAACATGATCCAAAGTTTTTTTAGGAATCACAACTTTTCCGAATATATATAAAATAATAACTAATGTAAGTGTATATAAGATTTTTCCATGGCTCCTAGAAAAAAAAAAACAAACAAACAAACAAACAAACCAAAAAATAATAATAATAATAAAATAATATATATATATATATATATAATTTTTTTTTTAAAGAAAATAGAAAGAAAGTGGGTTCTTGTCAAGTTCTTTATGCGCTGTTCGTTGTGTTATACATCAGAGCGTGCAAATTGATAGACAGAATGTCATGCTTTGCCTCTCCACAAGTGGGGAATAATTGAAATTCTTTTCCATTCAAGTGGTGTTATATGAATTTGTCAATACTCATTACATTTTAGGTAAATATCGGATTTCAATCTTAAAATTGTTAATCTAAAAAACCACAACTAATCCAACAAAACATGTTCTTTGTCTAGCTCAACAATAAAAATAATGCTCTTCATCATTTCCCTTACTCAATAGACAATACTGGAGAGAGTGCCTAAACCGATATAAAATTGTAAAATTGATGTTCACCAATAGATCCCTTATATACTAGTTTGCAGCCTCCAAATCTCATTTTGAACAACTTCATCCCACTTAATGTCAAAAATTACCATATTTGCCGAAATTTGATACAATTCATGAGTATAACTTACCATTAGAATTTTTTTAATAAATATTTTCGAGTTGATTTCAAAAACTTTTGAACTTTGTAACACTTATCATGTCTTACAATGTCTCTTACCATGCCTTTCATCTGATTTTCATCTTTGCATTTCGCCCTCAAAAACTCCACCTTACTTTAATACCACTTCTTTTTTCTTTTCTTTTCTATTTTTTTATGAAAAAGCTAATATTCGATTTTTACACGAAGTGTAAAAGAGCTATTCAATAAAGAAAAATCATGCAGTTTGGCACTTGGTGTATGTCCATAGTCAAAGACAAGAATAACTTCACAATGATTACCTCATTTTAATCCTTGTGTCTACCAATAAAATACATATTGAGTGACAATACTAAACGAGCATAAAGTACTTGGTTCGATCGAGTATGTATGCTAGGCGCATATATAAAGAGTTGCAAGTTTCGCCCAAGATTATAATATTATGTGACTTGCAATAAATATGAAGTGAGAAATTATTTGAGTTATTTACAGGTTAAATACTCTAAAATTCATTACCGTGTCAATTAAATGTACAATAGCTATTTCAACACTACATATTTTGAATATTTGAAGTATGATTTTTACTTAAAGTTTGTTTGGCACAGATCTTTTCAAATAAAATGATTTTTTTATTATTATTTTTTTTTAATGTGATTGAAAGGATGAAGAGAGTTATGAGTCCCATAATTTTGTATCTAAACTTTGGCAAAGTAATTTGATAGGTCCTTTAGTACTGAAATTTGTTGAGAGGATTAATTATTCATTTACAAATGAAATGACCCTTGAAAAGAAGCCATAGTATAATGTACCATCATTTATTAAGATTAGGGTTTTCCTAGTGGTCCAGGGCCAATGTGGCCTTGGACATGCGCCCTTAGAATTTACAAACCATATCACTCTAGCAAAACCCTTAAGATTTTCAACAAATGTGGTTACGTTAATATGTTGTGTTTCAAGAAATTAGTACGTGCTTAGTAACTAGAAGATTTGTTGTGGCATGTCTATTAACTAATTAATGTTTATCAATTTGAGATACAATACATGTATAAGTCTTAAAATTTGAAGTTACAATTAAAGTTCAATGGCTCAATTGCATAAAGTTCAATTATTCAAATTGAGAAAAACGAAAGATTGGCAGCCCAATTGAAATATTAATGAAAGTTCAATGATAATATATATAAATAGGTGGACGACATGTTTTTTCACAAACAATTATCAGTGAAGGAATCGTGTTTTTTGTTTATGTTTAGCTCATTTTTATAAATCATTTATATATACTTCAATATCTTTTCTATTCACACATTTTGATGAATACATAAGTATTATTACTTATTAGTAAGAACTCAAATCCAATGTCAAGGCACATGCCAAGAGTTTAAGCCTAACCCAATGGATTACATTTAAGACTCCGTAAGGTTCAAATTAAATGTTGAACTAAATGCTTATACGACATCCACATTGATTTTAATCTTTCAATGTCAAGATTTCCAAATGTTCTCTTTATTTTTCCTACTTGTTCATGAATCCAAGTCTCTCTAAAGATTTCTTCCCTTGAACCAATAGAAAATTTTGAAATACTTAGGTCCTTTCTATTATTCTCTGAACCCACACTTAATTGTGTTGTCTACTTAGTTGTTGAACTATCATTCCCCACCCAAGGTGACTATAATTGATGTGGCCATTCTTGAAGATGGTTTGGGGAAGGTCATTGTGCTTGGGATCCCATTCCTAATATAAAAATGAAATTTAAGCATTGAGATTAGAAATACTAATGTTAAAATGTTAATTGATTTACTAGAAATTATCGATTCTTAAATTTAAGGGATTGTAGTATCAAACACAGTGTTATTCTCTTTCAATTTTTGCTTGGGTTGCATTGTATGTTATGTGACCTATGAAAAATTGGATTGTCGAAAGTGGTTCATCTATATGTCCTTATTTGAGATTGTTTTATTTATGATGATATATCTTTATCCATTCATAGAAATATGAAGTGAACTTGAGAAATGGTACTACACGTAGCTATACCATGGGCTTGACTATATTAGCCGAATGTGACCAGCATATTACAGGTCCTCAACCGCCAATATCTCTGGTCCTCAACCATCACCTCATGACTATGTTAGTCGATTGTGACCAGCATATTGCAAGTCCTCAACTATCAATATTTCTAGTCCTCGACCACCATTTCTCTCACATCTAAAATTTGTCTGTATTTTGCCTTGAATGTCGATTGCATAAGGTCGTTGCACCTTCACTTTGAAACGATAGTTTATGCCTCTAAGTAAGCATTTAAGTGTGCACGTAACTTACAGATGGATAGTGAGAATTTGAACCCCAAAAATAGAGAAAACCAGATTTCTTCAAATAATTTTTAGAAAAAAAATAAATTCTTATTTCACTTTTTCTTACCAACTTCGCCCTGACCAGACAATTCTTATGATAAAATGAAATTAAAATTGAAGTGTAATTATTTGATTGCATAAAATTAAAGTATAATTACCTAATTAATGATAAAATGAAGTATAATTATCGTGAATAAAATTTGCCAGTAACAAAATAAAAAGAAACAACATAATAAATGAGTAAGTATTATAATTGATACTTTAATGATTAAATTTCATTTGATCAGGCAGAGCCGTGTCGACTCCTATCAATTTATTAACAATGATTTGCGTGACAGCTGTTTCTTTCTTTTCTTTTTTCTGCTTTCTTTTCGAAGGCTATTTAATACCAAAAAGAAAAGAGAAAATTAGAACGTGAGATGTAACTTGATTAGCACGTGAAGGTCTCGCATCTGTTCCCTGTACATTAATAACATGACCTACTAACAAGTGTCACGTTACTGTAAGAAAGCAGCATAAAATTTCATTAAATCCCCTCAAAAGAAGAATTTCTAATCAGAAGTTAGGCTATAAATATGAAGAAGAATTTCCCCTTAAAGTACACACGTAAACAGCAGTTATGAAGAGTCAAGAGCCTCGTTCGAGCTCTTCTTGTGCAGCCTGCAAGGCCTTGAAGCGAAGATGCACCCCAAATTGCCAGTTCGCCCCGTATTTTCGTTCAGACGAGCGAAAGAAGTTTGCCAAAGTACACAAGGTGTTCGGAGCCAGCAACGTTAGCAAGATTCTTAATGAGGTGGCGGAGGAGCAACGAGACGATACGGTGAATTCGCTTGTTTACGAGGCTGAGGTGAGGCTGAGAGACCCCATTTATGGTTGCATTGGAGCTATAGCTTCTCTGGAGAAGAAGATGGCTGAATTGGAGTATGATCTGATGCATGCTCGAGCTCGTCTTGCATTTTGTGTTAACCAGCATGGGAATATGGCCACTTGGATCCAAGATATTCCTGTGTCGAGTGGTATGGTGGAGACCTACAATCAGAATTCGTTTTCCTTTAATCAATTTAGTCATTTTCCATTTCCTTAATTATCTGACAAAATATTGATGGATGTCATCTGAGTCGAAGTGAAACTTTATGTAATTGTGCTCTGCAAGTGAATATGAATATCCCTCAGTAACTGTGGCTTATCTTTTTTCATGGTATTCAACAAAGTTTGTTCTTTCTTGGAGATGAGATCAGATTTTCGTTATTTTTCTCTTTCGTAACTTTGCTTCCATAGGGCTCGGGTGCAGGGATGGGAGGCTTGATCTTGAAGTCTTCAAAGCATTTCTAGTGCCTCAGGTTAGACAGCATCGAGCACTTACAGAGCATCATGTCTAGTGCAGCATTCCAGACCTGGATGCAATTTTCATTATATCTGTGTCATAAGTCCACTTTATCTAGCAATTTATTTGAGCGAGTGGATTCATCATGAAAAGGAGACCAAACGGAATCATATCCATGGTTTTTTCACAATCATCCTAGTATTGAACAGCTAATTTAATTCGGCGCACCGTAAAGTGTAATATTATATTTACAAGCTAATGGAATGCCTTTTGGATTAGGCACGCGAAAGTTGTGAGACAATCATATTGTTTGCAACTTTGCATTGATTACAAGTCAATCACTAGTTAAAGCAAAATTTCCAATGAGCAGATTCAAACAAGCAACAGGAAAAGTTGATGTGCAATAAATCATTGGATGCTTCTTGTTTAGTTCATGTGCTTGCTATCTTGCCTTTTGGAGGCCACACCAATAGAAAATCAGTGGTCGAAAAATCCAATGAAGGCACGCTTTCCACAAGGTTCATATCACATTATACGAATCACTGCAGTCTCGGCTCATTTTGTAGTAGATACTATGAACAGGTCGTGTTGGCGTAATCACAGTATGCATGAACCAAACCAAGAAACTAGCTCAGAAACAACCCTGTGAAAAATTAAAATAGGCACCATATTTGCACAGCTTCAACACAGTGAGATCCTGCATTGAACCATAGACCAGCAGCAGAACACTCTGGACTTTCCTTCACAAGTCCTCATAATAGCGAATGCCCTGGACAATTTTCCATTGGTCAACTTCAAGACATGACAACATCAAGGCATATCAATGAACGTCTAAACCAAAAGGACCCCGGCACTGATTTGAATTTTAGTTCCAAGATGAAACCAACAAGAGTAGTACTTAGCCATTGCAAGAATCTATTAATCTAGCCACAGATTGTAGTCAACCGATCATGGGCAAGAAAATCTTCAAAAATTTCCGAATGTTCAGAATAACTCCCATTCGACTGCATTTTTGGCCAATATTTACCAGTCCAGCCGCCTCCTTCCTGAGGCAATTTTACAAATGATTGCTAGACTTCAGTTGACTCTTAACATAAAAACAAGCATTGCACCCATCAAGTTTGGGTGAAGCTCCTTAAAGAAAAGGACACTCAACATACGAAAAACAAAATGCTTAAATACCATGAAATGAAGTCATAAGCTTTTCTATAATTATATAATGCATAAGCAACACATGACATCGTTAGCCACAGACTACCTCTTAAGAATGCATTCTGATACTCAATAACGGAGGAATCGATAACTTTTTTTTATCCTCTCAATAATGATCTCAGAGGTAAGTACCTCCATACAGACGGAAAATATTGTTAGATGATCCTCAATGACACAGGAGATGTCATCTTTGGGTCAGTGAAGATACTTTGCTGTAGCATTGAATGGATTCCTATTTCATTGACAAATTACTAGTGTATGCTCTCTGCATTTCAATTTAATTCCTAGTAATAAATAAAAGAAAATATTCCTCAGGCATCATCTGGTTGTGGTGAAACAAATTCTTATAAACAAAAATAGTAGAGACTCTCAACAAATTGAAACAATGCTTGGAGCTATTGAACATTGAAAATGGATTTAAGGAAACTTTTAGAGTTGAGACGGTTATGCTTATGGCATTAATCTGCTTCTGCCCCTAAAACTACAATACTCTGTGTTTTGAGAAGACACGTTGGAAATTATCTGCCATATTGTAAATTAAACTTTTTTTTCCCCTTCCTTATAAACAAAATTTATTCAATTCATAGAAATCCTTCGATTGATGATCCATTTTAAAACCCCTGTTCTCCATTTCCTTTACTACATCCTTAGCCTCCTCAATTTTATTCATTCTAATCAAATGTGTAGCCAAAATCCCAAAATTTTCAGCATCCAATCTTGGGTCCTTCCCAGCAAAGCTCCTCACAAACTCCAACGCCTGCGCATTACAGCCAGACCGCACCATCCCTTTTATAACGTGCCCATAGGTGCAATACAACGCCGGCAATTCATCATCCATCATCCGTCGCAGAACGGAGAGTGCGCCGTCCAATCTCCCAGCCTTACACGCGCCCAAAACCAGAGCATCGTAAGTCCTTGAATCGGCTGCCAAGCCTTCTTCTTCCATGCTCTCCAACACATTAGCGGCTGATTTCAAATCCCCAATGTAACAAAAAGCCGTTAGAATGTGGTTGAACGCCGTCACATCGGGCTGGATTCCGCACGCTCTCATCGCTTCCAACACGCGCCACGCCTTGGCCATCTCCTTCTTCCTTGACAAAGCGTTGAGTATGGGGTGAAACGTACTCGCGGTGGCACCGTAGTCATTCGTCGACATCATCTCCGTCACGCGTACTGCCTCAGGAATCCGATGCATCTTCGCTAGTTGAGCCACGAGGGAATCGTACGAGCTCTTTCTGGTGAAACCATTCAGCCCCGCGATATGCTTCGAGAGCTCGTCGAGTACGGAGAGATCAGTTGAGATGAACTTGAAGGTGTCGACGGTGTTGAAGAAGCCCTCTCTTACACGCTTGTTGAGGAGGTAACGCAAGGTGGCGAAGTCTCTTTCCCGGCCGGCGGCGTTGATGAGATCGTCATACTGTGTACAGGACGGAATTGGGGATAGTTCATGATTAGGGTTTTGGGTTGAAAATGAATTGAAAATTGATGCTACATTTCGGGTTAGGGTTTTGAAATTTCGAAGAGCTAGCATTGGACAATGGATTCGAATGGACTCTGAAAACGAGGGTTTATACAATCAACATTCAACGTCTGATTTGCAAGACGATGGGGGGAAAATGGACTGGGCTCATATTTTTTATGGATTCTATTGGGCTCAGTCCACAAGTATCCTTTAACCAGAAAAATAGGAAACCGTAATTTACAAAATAGAAAATTTTGTGAAAAAGTGGTTATTATTAGAAATGTTGTGCTAAGCTTAAATTGTGAGTGTTATAAAAGTGAAGAAAAAAGAAGAGAACATAGAGAAGTCAATAAATTGTGTGTTTTATTAAAAATTAAAGTTATGTATTTATAGAGTAGAATTAGGGATACAATAGTAATTATTTCTAGGGCTGTAGGAGTGTAATTGTCATTCACCTCTAAACTCTAATAATCTTTCCTTTTACAACACCCCCCTTGAATGACATATTGCAAAATATCCGTCTCGTTAAAACTTTGTTTGATAAAAATCTAATGGGAAAAAAATCAAACGAAGGCAAAAGAGTACAGTTATTTTGGAATACTAAAAATAAATGCTGCCTCATTAAAACCTTATTGGGAAAATCCAGTGGGACAAAACCTAAACTCAGGAAAAAGAGTATAGTTACTCCCCCTGATATTGATCACTGAAAATCTTTGAGTCTACACATTTCAATCTTATGAACTAAGTTCTTGAATGTAAATGTTAGTAGTGTTTTTGTGAATAAATCAGTCACATTGTCACTTAAGCGAATTTGTTTGATATCGATATCGTCATTCTTGTGAAACTCATGTGTATGAAAGAATTTTGGAGAAATATGTTTCGTCCTATCACCTTTGATCTAGCTCCCTCTGAGTTGTGCAATACAAGCTGTATTGTTTTCATACAAAATTGTTGGACGATCCTTTATTGAAATTAATTCGCATGATATTTGGATATGATGGGTCATGTTTCTCAACCATACACATTCTCGACCTGCTTCATGAATTACAATAATTTCAAAATGATTTGAAGATGTAGCTGTCAAGAATTACTTTACAGATTTCTATGATGTAGTCGTTCCTCCACGTGTAAACATATAACCTGTTTGTGATTTAGCTTTATGTAGGTCAGAAAGATAACATGCATTTGTATATTCCACTAAAGCAGATCCCGATTTTTGATAATAAAATAATCTCAAATCAATATTACCCTTTAGGTAACGAAAAATATGTTTAACAACGTTCCAATGTCTTTGAGTTAGTGTAGAGCTATATCTTGCAAGGAGATTTACAGAAAAAGTTATGTGGGGTTGAGTGCAATTTGTAAGATATGTTAATGCTCCAATTGTACTAAAATATGGTACTTTAGGACCAAGAACTTTTTCTCCATCTTCAAGTGGACGAAATAGATCTTTTTTCATATCAAATGATCGAACAATCATAGGTGATTCCAATAGATGTGCATTATCAATGTAAAAACGTTTTAAAACTTTTTCTGTATACATAGATTGGTGAACAAATAATCCATCTGCGAAATGTTCAATCTGCAATCCAAGACAAAATTTGGTTTTTCCCAAATCCTTCATCTCAAATTCATTTTTCAAATAATCAGCAGTTTTGTTGAGTTCTTCAATAGTTCCAATTAAATTTAAATCATCAACATAAACTGCCACAATTGCAAATCCACTATTTGTTTTCTTTATAAAAATATATGGGCAGACATCATCATTTTTATAACCCTCATTCAACAAATATTCGCTAAGTCGATTATACCACATGTGTCCGAATTGTTTTAATCTATATAATGATCTTTGCAATTTAATTGAGAACATAGTTCTCAAACATGTATCATTTGTTCCTGGTATCTTAAGTCCTTTGGGGACTTTCATATATATGTCACTATCAAGTGAACCATACAAATATGCAGTTACTACATCCATAAGGCGCATATCAAGTTTTTGTGATACGGTCAAACTAATTAAGAATCTTAAAGTGATGGTGTTCATTACGAGAGAATATGTTTCCTCATAATCAATTCTTGGTCTTTGTGAGAAACCTTGAGCTACTAGTCTGGCTTTGTACCTTGTGATTTCATTATTTTCATTTCTCTTTCGTACAAAGACTCATTTGTATCCAACAGGAATTACATTTTCAGGTATTCGAACTATAGGTCCAAACATTTTTCGT